GGGTCCATAGTTTTCATACTGTTCGCTCCGGGCAAAACACCACATTTTGAGGGTGACTAACTTCGTTATATAAGTAGGATGACTAGGTAACCACTCGGAGTTGTGGTGGCTTGAAATGGTCCGACTTTTATGAGTGAATTGCTGGTCAGTTCTATTTAAGCCAAACGACTTAGATGTTTACCTATTAGGCCACAATGATTTTCCTAAAATTGACGTCATTTGACTCAAATGACCTACAAACGCTCTTATCAGTTATCACTGAGCTGCACACTATACATCTTTCAATAACTAACAAAGCCACCACGTAATCAACATACTTTAATTTATTACGGAGAGTGAGGCTTATTAATCGAGTGAACTTTCTACATGGAGATATTTTGAAACTGCTGATAGTTTTGCACTTGTCGATAGGTCCACAGACATCTAACAACTAAATGTTAGGCTATGGATTGGCAAGGAGTTACTACTATCAGAGCTCTAACTACGGGAGTTACAAATACAGTAAACCACTCACATGGCACCGAAAAACGTTTTAAAGCAGTACGTTAAGACGTCAACTATTAAGACTTTAAAAGCTTTGTATACGCGCTTTACTGCTTCTGTAGAGATAAGGATACAGGTTTCTCTGTCACAGCAACACTCTGTTTCGAAGTTTCAACCATAAAAACCACTTTACAGGGAGTGGGTGGAAAGTAACTCACTCCGGGACAGGTTCAATAAAAGTCACACATAACGACGCTAAACTGACTGTCATTAGCTTATTCATGGATACGATGTTGTGAGTTGCCATGTAACGACAGAAGGCAAGAGTCAGACAACAGATCATTTAACGAGGAAATCAACGCATATTTATATATTTCATGTACATTACTATGGATATTTATGCAAACAAACAAAGTCTTCCGATTGGTTGTTTCTCACGTAAAGTTAATCTTTCATCTATTTGTGACTGTTTCTTGAATGTCAAATCCTCTATCTGTTAACTGCATCCGCCTACGCAAAGTCTGCTGTGGTCGGTTTTGAATCAATCTTTGTTCACATTTTCTCACGACAAATCTTGGGAACGTAAATATTTACGTAAATTACTGTCTACCAATTTGGCTAGTAGACAGCTCTCACCACAGAAAATCATTCCACTTCAGCTTAAGTTAGGGGTTGTTTCCGTTAGATATTTGTAAGCTGTGTGTACACACCGACGACACGTCTTGTCAAGACTTTTAAGTGCATTCTGAGTGCCCAAGTAGCCTCTTTTGGGAAGAAAATTCTAACATGGACGCCAAGCTAGATGACATACACTGTCACTCCGCAAGAGCGAGTATGAAACAACTTGTTGTCCATGGGTACTATAGGAAAGGAAGAGGTGATATATTACATATTTGATTGCACTGTCTACTTTTTCAAGGGAATGAAGCTGGAACTCTCATTTACAATTGTAAGAATCTTGAAGTAAACGAGATCTTTTGTTTACTTATATTTTCATCTGGTAAGTAAATTAAGTAACAAGAAACGTTTCTCTGTCAATGTAGGGCGTCCAGTATGAGGAAAAACATTTACCCTCCCTTCAGAGTTGTTGCTGAGCTGAAACAAGTTACTGCTAAAGAGCATACTCTCAAAGAAATCCTAAAGAAGCGACCAAATCGCAAAAACCACAGCATGTCTCGCCTCATCGGTAAAAGTAGGCTAATTAATGACTATGCAAACATGTGTGAACTGTTTAACAAAAAATTTGTAGCTGACTACCTTAAGCCTACATTCTCACCACTACGTGTAAACCCTAAAAATTTGACGCGACTTCCCTCCTTCCTCACACTAAAAAATTAGCGCTGTTGAGTTCACTTAAACTAACATTAACCAAGCCACTGGAGCTCTCAAATGCTATACAGGTTTTGGCACTGACTGCATATCAATGGATTTCTGTAAATATGTTGGTCCTGACATTGCCATATCACTGCATAAAGTATTCACAATGTCCTTAGAAACTCAAACCTATTCAGAAAGATGAAGAACGACATTTTTTGTAACTTAACACAAATGCGGCTCGAAGCCAGAAGTTAACGACAACAGGCCAATCAATAAAAAACATGCAGCATCTATAATTATGGAGATGCCAACTAAAGATAACGTACTCAAAAATTTATTTAGATGCAATATTGTGAGTCCAGACAAACACAGATTCCTGAAGTCCCGATCTTGTTTAACCTGTCACCTGGATATCTTTAATTTTGTGACCTCTATTCATGACAGAAAACAATTGGCACTCATTATCTACTTTGACATTTCCAAAGCAATTAGCCGTGTCGGCCATTTAGTGCTTATTCATAAGCCGAATTCTTTAGGAATACATGACCCACCATCAAGATGGTTTAAATCATTCATTAACAGTGGGTCCAAAATAGTTGTGTATATATATGTATATGTACATTTTATGCTTTCATATATCATTTAACCCGTTACCGTGGAGCCAGGTACATCGAACGTCCGACGCGCATCTTATCAAAAAGGGTCAAAGAACACTATCCAGCGTGGCTGTAAAAGGAAGTAGTGGCCGAATGAAGGGTGAAGTAGTCGAAAATCTCGTCACCAATGGTCATTCCATCTGAACAAACGCCTCCTTCAAAGTAATCTACAAAGTGAAGAACAACCTGCCAATGACAATACGTTTCCATCTTCTCGCATTGCAGAAACTCTAGCCATTTACTTAGAAGAACCAGAACTATGCACACAAAAGAAAATTATTCAGCGACTTCTACTATCATGATAACAACTCTGTTGATTTGAATTAACTCTTGCTTGTTTGCCTTTTTTCTAACTACTTAAAACTCTTGCGTAATTCCGTATATTATTTTGTTTGCGTAAACACCCTGAGCACAACTCTTTCATCAAACTATTCATGTTATTACATAATTCCTCTTTGATAACCATTTGTGACAACTCATCACTTTCGTTACTCATATACCAACATCCAATTCCTCTGAGTGCTTTTTGTAACGCTTTTCTATCTCCAACAAAAGCTTACTAGCTGTATTTTCGTTTGAGATTCAATGTACATGCACATGCAAAATAGCCATATATATTTGCGATTGTACAGCTTTGAAAATGAATTCGCCGAAAAGACACTCTTCGCTGAATTACTGGTCTTCTCTCTATTAACATTCTGATTTGGATTCTTCATGAATTCAAAAGTAGCAAGCACCCCTCCTCATTGAGAGTACTCATTGGCTTTCCAGGATACTCGGTGATTCTACCAAAATGTTGTTCGGGACGAATCAGATAAAGTGACTGCCTGGTCATCTTTATGTAATCGAAAATTCAATCTGAACAAATGTGGCTGAATCTGCTTCGAAAGCACCTACAACTGTCATAAAATTAGCGCTTCAATATGCTAACCTACCCAGACTCCAGTGTCGTTGACTTAGGTCTGAGGTATTCAAGTGACTTAAAATTTTCTGAGCAAGTGGCATCACAGACTCGAAAGTAGAGGATGCCCTTACGTTGCATGCTCAGGGACTTTCACGACAATGAAGTCAAGCTAATTCTACACAAAACTTGTGTAAGTCCACTATTAGAAAACTGTCCACTTATTATTAGCAACACTCGCATATTTGACAAGCTGAAAACGGAATGTTATCAACGATATTCCACGTCCAAACTACTTTGATATGATTGTAAGAAGGACTATATTTCACCTTGTGCCTCTGAATCTTGACCCGATCTGTACGGGACAACTTATTATATACCTAGTATTCTCCTCCAAGGTTTTTACACAAAAAATCATTCTCAGACAGTAAGGACTCACAGTTCTTCTCGGGGGCTCATACGATCCGCGTAACCAAACATAAACAGTGACACTAAACGCTTTTATATCACCTAAACGCGAAAACCTCTCCACAGCAGTGCATTCTAAATTATGGAGCAGTTAACACCTAGAAATCAGAATCTGCACCTCGATTAGACGTTCCCTATTGAGACTACAACAGGAATGCATTATTTGTTTCTAGATCGAATCAAGTATTAGGACATTTTAATGTCCGTGAACGTGTAACACTTCACTAATTACAATACAGAGACTGGTCGCATACATGTATAAAATTTCTAAGAGAATATCAATATGTATGTTTACCAAACGGCTATGTTTTCATGAATTGAAAAAACGGACAACTTGCCTCTTTCCTGAAGCAAAAAGTTTCTGTTGTTGTGTCCTACCCCTCCTTTTCAAAGTTATGCATTATATAATTTTCTCGTTTAATTTTCGCAGATTTCTCTACCTTTCAATTGTTGCATTGATTTAATAGGCTATTTATCACCTCTTGATACGCTGATAATGACTAATTATTGCTGAAAAAGTTGTCACCACTGGTAAATTTATATTTTGCAAAAAGACTGATGCATTCGATAAGAGGGCTTAAGACGAGGATTCAGTTGAAAAGCAATTATTTCTTCACATAATCCTTTTTACCTTCTAAATGTCTAAGTGCGGAATTCTTCCAAACATTTTGGATGAAGTACAAAATAATTCCACCTCTCACACAAGCACGTTTACAGTTATATCTTAAAATCCAAAACGGTGATCTTATAGATAAGCCTTGAAGCCAGTCTCTAGCAGTGAGACATAGGACTCTTAGTTTGAATGTATATAGCCCTCTTTAAGAGACGGTGTCAAGAGTACAACTGGAAAATATCACAGAACAAATCCAACGCTCAAGAGTTATCCATTCAGATTTGGCCTGTTGAACAAAATCCAACATCCTGCAATGAATTCCACTTCACAGTTTCTTTTCCAAGCAATGTGACCTGATGTGGCGGTAGAAAATTAAACAATAGTAGCATCGTCTTTACAAAAGTTCTTCACTCACTTGGTTATTTTTGAAAATCCTCCTTTCCTATACATAAAGACGTTTGTATATTCAAAAATACTGAATCTGACTGGTTTCTAGCAGGTATTTTGACATATTGACTTAGTAGAAGTATTATTTGTTTATGCTTGTCAAAATGACTATATTGGGCGCGCGAGGCTCCTTGTACGACATACTCTAAATGCGATTGACTTCATGTTGGTTCTTGTAAGTTATGTGGATATGTTGTCTCGACTAGTTTTTAAACTCTTTTTCCCTTTTTTATCTGACTGTTTCTTTTTTATTCAGCCAAATCCATATCAGCTCGATTTAAGAGCAGGGCAATGTGCTATGGCGTGTAGCAAATCCCAGTCGGATTGTGGTTCCCCAGATGCCACAACTGTTATAGTTCATAGTCTTATGTGCCATCGACAAAGTGGCGAATCGGAAGAGTTTGCGAGACGTGCAATCGAGAGTTTGGTGAAGAAACTGAAGGAAAGACAAGAGGATCTAGAGTCTCTTATAACAGCGATAACGACGAACGGTAGTCAACCTAGTAAATGTGTTACTATACAGAGGACATTAGATGGGCGTATGCAGGTACCAGTTAATCAGTCGTATTGACTGGATTTCTTTCAGATTGCTGGCCGTAAGTGTCTCCCGCATGTTATTTATTCACGTATTTGGCGATGGCCGGATCTACATCGCAACGAGTTAAAGCATTCTAAAGATTGTTCCTTCGGCTTCGAATTAAAGCAGGATTATGTTTGTATCAATCCGTATCACTATGAAAGGATTGTCTCGCCGGTTGACATGGCCGCTCTCAGTTTGAGTCCTGTTGAGGAAAAGGATGGTACGTTTCCTTTTTCTGCTACTAAGTTTATAGTATCGTCTTTACTTTGTTGTCCACTTGTTCATATTTTTCTGTCATATGCAAGTAACAGCATTAAAACTTATTTTAAACTACACCATATGTGCTAACTGCATGAATTCAGTACTTCCTCAGACTTTTGTTACCTAACATTATCCCTTTGGAATTTAGTGTAGGTTTATCTGAGCAAAAGAGCCAGAATCAGTTCACATCATAGCGAAGATATTGCATATTATTTCCCCACTCAAGCTCGGAAACAAACTTCTGGATGTTCAGCGTTAGCCACATTTCTTGGCTTAGTCTATACACGACTGCGAATGTAATGGGCACTGTAACAATCTCTAAGTGGATGCTGCAGAAAAATCTTTTAGTTATCGAGAGGCCACCGAATTCAGTAAACAACCTTTTTCCAGACATAGAATAAAAGTCTTGTCTTGATATAGTCTTTGCATTTCTGAGCTCATAAAGGTGGTAAATCATGCTTGTATGGATATGTTTTGCTGTTTATAAGCCTTAGAGTTGTTTACTCGTAAATTTTGAGAAAGCCACACTTCTGTTATCTCACTGATGAATTATCACGTTTTGTGTTGTCACATATGTGTTAATAACAGATTTTGAAAATGAATGCCAATAACAAAGTAATGTACGACCACGTGAAACAGTTCGTCAGTTATCAAAGTATTCATTCTACCACAAAATCCTTCAAGCACGCCAAACATAATATCTCAAAGGTTGAACTATTACTTATCCTTTAAATTAATTAAAATTGGTTTAAACTCATTTCAAGCGGTTGGTAAACCTAAGATCTGTTGTAGTGTAATAACCACATTATATATATTTTCTGTAATTCAGCATCCAAATACAGATCTGTTCTGTTATTAGTTGTATAGTAGGTTATTCTAGATATGACTTATTGACGTAAGCGCTTGACTTACAGTTGGTTGTTACGAGGTTCGATTTCCATTTCACCCACTGCATCCTGTTCAGTTTAGTGGTATCATTATTTCTCAAACAAATGGGGCACTTAGCCTGGTACTTAAAAGTTCTGTTCCTGGTAATTAACTTCAAACAAACATTATTGTACTGTCTGTGTATTCATACTGAAGTAGGTGAAAGGATATTTGAAAATATTGCTATAATATTGAGTGTTTACGTTTCTGCATTGATATCATTCTACCTACATTTAGCATGTATTGTAAAAATAAGTGGAGCAGAGATTTGGTTAGGCTACGACTTTGTATGTTCACAGAAAGCATGACTGGAATAAATCTAGGGTTTTCTACTAAATTGATTGTTTATCTCTATGTTAGAGAAATGTAGATTACCTGCTATACCAATTAAAATGGTTTTCATCATTTTTCAGATGTGTGCAGTGATACAGGGAGTGAGTCCAACTGTCCGGAGTCTTTAGTTTCTGGATTCAAAGGAACTCAAATAGGTGACATGGAGTCATGTTTGTCAAGTATTACCACCAACGAAGGAAACAGTCATATCATTTCAGGACCATCTTCCGCTCGACCTCGCCTTACTGTTCTCGATCTGCTTGATGATCGAATGCCTCACTCAGGTATTTTTAATGCTGTTTTTCTATATTTTGTGCTATCGCGACTCCTAATTCAATCCGTTAATTGATTGAACATGTTTCGTGAATGAATTTGACAATTAATTCTGTTATTAGCCTCTGTATGTAGTCGTTGTTACTGTGCTTATTGCTTCCTGAGTAACCTATGTAAGATTTTTACTCACCATAATTTAGTTAATGCATACACCTGTTACTGTTATGTTGCAATTAATTATAAATTAGTTGAGGTGAAACCCACGATCCATGTTCCACAATTCTAATTTTATAAACTAACATGCAGCAAATGTAAAAATATTTTTTAACGGTAATCTTTTATCCAAAATTCACTAAAGCACAGGTTAACCAAAGGTAGAATGGATAAACTCTATGAAATTGTTGATTAAGACGTCTTTTGCCAACAATTAATTTAAACTGAATTAAGTTTTATTTTTTCATCACACTGATGTTGAAGTCTGTATGTTCCAGCTCATCTGGGAAAAAACTGTTTTAAGTTATGCAAAAACAAACTTGTATAACGTCTCCAGTCTACATACTCGTGTAACACGACGTTTCTGTCGCAAGTGTTTTGAATGATTACACACAAATAGTATCAACAGTACTTTCACTTTTATGCAGATTTCTAATTGGGGTACATATTTTCAAATAACTAAGAAGTTTGGTTTACAATAAGATTGTGTCAATGAAATTCCTCATCTTTTATGCTTCAATTATTGTAGGGAGGAGAAAGATACGGCAAACTTTTGTGTCGACACTTGCCAGTCATCTTTGATATAAGTTCATGCAAATCGTAAAATTGCATTTCTACGAGATTAGTCCACTGGTTATCCTAAAATGCAAAACTGAAAGCTCACTTAAAATATTGAGGATGGTTACTTGGTTTAAATTCTCAACGTGGAAACTCAGTATTTTCGTGAGTGGGACATTTTCAGAGAAAAATGTGATGAAATAGTTAATTTACCCATGCAAATGGTCTGCTGCATCTTACAGATGGAGTAAAAATTGTAAGCTTAAGAACTATACGTTGTCTAGAAATCACTCATACCATATTAAGTTGGTCGCTAGCACTATTTGTTACTTTATGCTCCTTTCTTGCTAAGATGTTCTAGCCACAAAGGTTCTTGCTGTACAAGAAATAAACTTATAAAACTCGCATTTACATAAGCATAATTATTTTTAGGTTCAAGAGGTCAAGAATATGATCCCACACAGGATCTATCATCTCCACAAAGTGATTCAACCTCAGCAAACACATCAAGCATTCCAGCGTTGAGAGTTAATCCAACCCCACATTTAGATAGGGGGCAAAGTACAATGGCATGGTCAGGAGTAGCCAGTCCAAATCATCCATACACATTTTTTCAATCTGCTAATAAATTCCCCTCCAAGGATAGTCTTTTGGGATCTGTGAGTACAGCTACATCAGGCGAAACATATGAATATTGTAACTCAGTACCAGTGACTACTCTCGGGACCGACATAATGGATACATTCACATGTAAAACCACACCACTCTCTCACTTTACACAAGTTCAAGCTAACGATTCAGAGAGCAGCTATATTTCATCTGCGTTGTCATCAAACCCAACTGCAATCTGTCTGTCAGGAAACACTAATGGCGGAGTTAATAACAGTTCTAATAAGCGTAGTGGTGGTTCCACTGGAGCGACTGGAGGTTGTAGTACTGGTGGTTCCGGTTTTGGTGGCTCTGCACCATGTGGTGGAGCCGGCGGTGCAGCGGGTGCTGGTGGTGGAGGATGGGGTAACCGTAGGGGTCCTCCCGCTCCACCTTTTACCCCCTCTGGATCTCTACTTCAAGTAAGTTATTATTCTTTTCCTTTTTTTGTCTTGAGAATATGTCAGGTAGATCCATCCACAGTTTTGTGGTTGATTACGGACCATATTAGTCAATATTCTGTTTATTTACACGGTTCAATCTGCAAGCATTTATATTTTAATCTTCATTATTTCCGCCCGGTGATCCTTTTATGTTTCATCTAGCCACCACAGTAGTTACTTGAACCCGTTGCCCTGTTTCTCATCAGCTTTCACTATTCCTAATACTACTGTGGGTCCGTATTATTTTTTAATAGTTTCTTTTGATGGCTATGCACCATGTCTATCTGTCTGGATTCAACATAGAACTTGGCACCGAAGTGCAGCAGTTCGAGTTGCCATGTTCCAAATAGCACACAAAGGTAGACAAAAAAATGAGTGAAGAGAATCAATAGAGTTTTGACAAGTATAAGAGTGAAACAGAATGAGTAATGGTAGAAAAGAATATGAAAGATAACAGAGACTGAATACATCTGCGCCATTGACAACGATTTTGAGCCATGTCACCTATTGTCTCCAGCCATTGATTCTTAGAGTCCCGAGGGCCCCAACCCAGAAGTTTGCATCTCCCTACCTGACTCAGTTTAACTGTCAGGGATTTCATGGATTGATGCCATGCTTTTGTTTTGCCACCACTTACTCTTTTCCAACCTGCACCTATATCATCTAGTAATGCCCGTCGGGGGAGGCGATGGTTAGGCCTGCGCAGCACGTGAACTAGCCATCTCAATCTATGTAACTTTATAGCCTCGTCGATTGATTTTCCCTCTTTGCCCAACAGTACGCCTAACGTCAACATTACTTACCTTATTATGCCACCTAACGCGACAAAGAGATCGTAAACATCTGTGGTCAAAAACAGTCAACCTTTTCATGTCTTCAACTCGTATTGGCCATGTTTCAGAGCCATAGAGAAGGACGGAGCGAACTGCTGAGTAGTACACACGTCCTTTTGTTGATAGCCGGATGTCGCGCCTACGCCAGAGATGCACCTTGTAGCAGCTTAAATGAGCACTAACTTGTGAGAGATATTTGTCTGACATACATTCAATTCCACCCAGAATGTGGAGTAAGTAGGCGATAAAAATGAAGGACAAAGAATCAGAAATATCAAAGATCCTACTAGTCTGTCGAAAAATAAAGTGAATCTAATAGTATGATGTTACAATTAAGGTTCTGTTAAGTTATAGGTGTATTTATTTTAGGTATTACCGTATCTTTCGAGCTTGATGGCTTAGCTGCGAAGCTTTCCTTGTCCTTCTAGACATTATCTTCAGGGCTGAACTCACAGTATAAATAGAGTTCCGTAAATGAGATAACCGTCTTTTCTAATGAATTTCACTGTGATTGATTATCTTGTCATTTTGCTGATTTGTATTGACATTGATCGTTTCACTGACCTGATAATTGATATTTTCGGGCGTCTGTCTTATTGGTTATTGGTTAGTAAGTTTGCTCTGTATATCTGTTAGCTACAGGTTAATGGTAAATTAGGCTCATAAGAATTCTCTGACAAATGGACCAACGTGTAACACTTAGACTATTGGAGGTGAACCGTAAAGGATTTATTAAGCATTAGGTGTAGATTCGAGGTTGTCCTTGAAATAAGTTATCCCCATGAGTGTGTATGGCTTCCTTGGATATTTCTTTCATGAAGTCATATTCATGGATATTGTCGTACATATAGTATCTCCTATGATGTTCTCAATAAAATTGCTAAACAGAATTTAAAACTTATTTCTCAGTAGTTTATTGACTAAACAACGTCATCAAAAGCTGTATAACAAAATATATCGCGCTTGAACCGATGAAGAATAGTTACAGCTTAGAATACGGATTTTTAGTTAAGTTGAATATTATGAATAAAATGCTATTGGAAACTCTATTCAAGAGAACGTCTTTCTCTCTGTTTTCGACATACAACTTTGCACCGATGTGCAGCAGTTCAAGTTGCCACACTCCATGTAGCACACAAAGCAAGAGAAGAAAGTAGAAGAAATGCAAAATAGAGACAGTAAACAGAGGTGTGAGACTGACGTATTTCGAACGTCAAGTTTAACTTGAACTTTGGTTTTACCTGACAGTTTTTTCTTATATTCAACAAGTTCATGTAGTCTTTGATCGTTCGTTTGAGCCACATAGGTGTAGACTATGGGACTGGGATTCTCAAGATGTTGTGATAACCAATGGCTTGAGACTAGGTGATATCACTAAAAGTCATTCTCAATGACATAGATGCATTCACTCTTCGTAGTCTCACAGATTCATGTAATTCTTTCTCCCTTTTCTGTTCATTATAGTTCCTTTGAATTTTTTCTCTACCGGTGTGTTCTATGTGGAGTGTTGCAACTTGAACGGTTGCATTTATGTAAGATTCTATGCTTAGAACTTAGCCCAATTCAATAAGACGGAGGCCTAACAAGTATAAAATATTCAAAATTTTTGCGTATTACATGGTACATCATTGGTTTGCATCGTTTCTATGTCTAACTAATTCTAATGGTATCCCTGAGTTTGTGACAGATTTTGTTTTTTTAAGCAATATTTTTATGCTTCTATTTTACTTCCAGCCCTTACCAGTCTTAACTACACAACGACCCCCTGAATACTGGTGTAATATCGCCTACTTTGAGCTGGATCAACAAGTTGGGGAATTGTTTAAAGTTCCCAGCCAGTACTCCCGTGTGACTGTTGATGGGTACACAGACCCTTCTAGTCCAAACCGGTTTTGTCTTGGACAACTGTCAAATGTCCACAGGTGAGTTCAATTTTATTTTTTCTGAAGTTATTAGTGTGAAAAGTCAATCGTTTTCATATTTATTGAGCAAAAAAGCTTAACAGATGTGACTTGTAGCAACACCTAATACTATTTTGCCGATGATTTAGTTGTATGGAACCAGCAGGACTTCTCACTATCTGCATATACTTTTTAAAATTATAACTAGTGGGCTCTTTTTCGACCCAAAAGCTTTTAAGAAAGTGTTTATGTATATAGACTCAGAAATCAGTCTCTAACTGTTTGGTTCAAAGTGATTTTGATGCCATACGGTTGTGTTTGGGGTTCATATGTAGACATTTTGTGGGTATGTACTTAAGTAGTGGTTCACTGACAAATGTATTAATTCTTATGTACTAATCAGGATTTACACGTATCGCTCTACAGAGTCAAACTTCTTGGCATCACATTGATAACGATGGGCAAGTATGACATCAGGGAAATTTGTCATTCCTTTATTTCCACTAGTTCTAACTTACAGTTGTAATCGTTTTCTTAAGATACCATATGACACAGTGTGGCTTTCCATTCATATTTTTAATGCTATGTTATCCACCAGGCTCTGAGATTTTAGATGCTAACGGCTGTAACACTTCTTTTATATATCAGTAGTGGTCAAACCAAAACATGGCATCAATCAATGAAATCCACAACAGTTAGTTTAAGCCACGTAGGGAGGTGTAGACTTCCTGGTTGGATGGTAAACACCAATGGCTGGAGACAACTGGTGATATGGTCGAGTTTCGCGACCGTGGTAGATACCAAATAGTGTAACTCAAAACATAACCAGGATGCAGGTCCATTTACATCTTAATTTAACTATAATATCACATACCTTTTTCCCCCTTGGATTTTTGGAATTTCTGATTTTATTGATTTTATTTTTTCTCGGTATTTAAAAATTTAAATTCATATACAGTCGTGTAAGATTTGAGTACAATACCGTCATATTGTACACTTGAAATGACACCATTTTCTAAAGCGATTGAGTGAATGGTTTATGTATGATTCGCTGGTGGAGATGCAGTATATTTGCTTTAACACTCGACTTTCAACCAGTGGGTCTGAGTTTTGAATTCTGCCTCATCTTCAGCCCGAGAAACTGTGTAGTATCATCAGCTCTCACACAATATATAGAGATCATAGCCTGCAACATGGAGATTTCTAACTAACTGAGAGGGACTCGTCTGAATTCGCCAGTTTTATTACTAGTTTGTAAACTTTAAGTACAGTGTCACTAATGAGTCCTGTGATTCTACGCTTTTTTCATTGATCTTTTTATGTGAGGGAATTATTTTAAAACTGTCTTAAGTTTACCACGATTTCTATTTTTATGTTACTTGTTTGATTGTGGCTCGCACCAGACTTTCATCGCCACACATTATTGGACAGATAATTCGTAAAAATACTTTTCTTCAGCGAATTAAGAAGGTTAGTCTGCACACCTCAAGCAGCTTATATTCACTCCTAAATTCACCATAAGATTATTGAGTAGTCGCTTCCTGTTCGTCAAATGATCATCTAAAGTGTCCTACGTTAACAAGTCACTTGGCGGAATAACCGCATGGTTAGAATTCAGTCAACACAACACCATATTGGCTACCCAGCAGTAATGAGTCAATGTCTGTGTATGTAAAGAAACTGTTTCCCTAATTTTTGTTTCTTCTGTCTTTAATATAAATTCATCGAAGATGTGGCGTATAGAAGCTATACGACAGGAAAACTTTTTATAGTAATAAAGTAGGATTTACCATACTAACATCGCATGAAGATAAGCTATGATTATCAGAATCTTACCATAAGTAGTCCAGTTAATGAGTCAGAACAATAATCTATACGTGAGAGTCAGTGATATGAACCTCGGTGGCATTCTGGTTCAATTCGTGGGCTAATTTACAAATAATTCCCCATCGTCTACAGAGTATATTTTACTCTATCCGTTGATTCAATTTTGTACCCTGTTCAAATGTATGCTGGACAGCCAGGATATTTCCAATTGATAAATATTTTGTGACAGATTTTATTGGATGACTTTAGATATGCTATTACTATAAAATTTTTTTCATATTATGTTCAGGTCAGAACAATCTGAAAAGTCTCGACTTTATATTGGCAAAGGTGTAGAGTTGGATAATGTTGGAGAAGGTGATGTATGGATTCGCTGTCTTTCAGAATTCTCTGTGTTTGTTCAAAGCTACTATTTAGATCGTGAAGCTGGCCGTGCTCCTGGAGACGCTGTTCATAAGATATACCCGGGTGCATATATCAAAGTAAGACGTCAGATGAAAATAGTTTTATTTAAAATGTGTCTCACTGTGCACTCCCCTTATGAATGTAATTTCAAGTTGTAGATTAGACATTCAAAATACCTTCTAATGCGTTAGATTGAATATTTTTTCCATTCCGATATAATGCCAGGAAATTTGCAAGCACTGTCGACAATCTGTATGTATTGTGTGGTTTTGAATTGATTTCTACGAGTATTGAAATGGCTGTGAGATTGCCTTGATATTTTGAATTTGTTTTAAACACATCCCTTTATTCATATTTGATGTAGGTTGCTCCTTTTACATCATATAACTTTTTCCCCTTCTGCCCTAGGTTTTCGATATTAGACAGTGTCATGAAGAAATGAAGTCTCTTGCTCAGTCTTCTCATGCTGCTGCTGTACGTCAGGCTGCAGCTGTTGTTGGGTCACCAACAACAAGCGATCTGTTGTCTCAGCTTCCAGGAGCACTACCTCTAGGTTCTGGTCAGTCAACTCCAGGTTCTGTACCCGGTATATTAGGTACAGGAGCGTCAATCATGGCCACTGCTGGTGTAGGTGTAGATGATCTGAGGCGTCTTTGTATGCTTCGATTGAGTTTCGTCAAAGGATGGGGACCTGATTATCCTCGACGTAGTATCAAAGAAACACCATGCTGGATAGAAATACAGTTGCACAGGTGAGATTAACTGAACTGTTTACTTTCAATACTTTTAAAAAAATACTTTTCTGTTATAAGGAAATTCAAGCTCTTAGATTCAAATGAAGGTTGTTTAAGCAGTTGATGGGTAGTAGACCGTATGAATTGAAATAAGTTTCATACCACTACTAACTGTTTCTTTCTATCCAGTTTATTTTACTCGAAGTATGATTCTGGTAGATCAGTTAACAATTGTGTTGTTGTTAGAAAACAGATGCTATTCGCCTAATTCTGATCACATTTAAATATGCTCATTTTGAATTTAGGTTGCTCAAAATTAGTTTCATCGCCCTGAAATAAGTTTATGCCTTCATCGAACTATGTGCATCTAGTCGCTTAAACTCCGGGCGAGTTTAGGATAGTTGGCTCAAATTAGCATAAATTAACACTGGCGGGGTTAGCATTCTTCGGAATTATTTCGTAACAATTCTGTGCTTGTAAAATAAGTCTTTATGATACAGCTAACATACTAAAGATTACTTCTGTAGCGATTTAATTTTCCTAATTTTTCCCTTTCAGACCATTGCAATTACTGGATGAAGTCTTGCAGGCTATGCCTCTTAACGACCTGAAACCAACCAGACATTTCTTTTCCTATTTCCCACAACCATCTGGTTGTAATACAGTCAGACCAACAGCAGCAAAACGCGTATAGAGATAGAGACAGGATTAATTAATCTTCCTTCCTTTCTCTTTTTAATGCAAGATTCAAACTTTTATTTTAATTAATCTAATTCTTTGTACTTTTAAGCCCCTTGTCGATGGTTTGTTGCATATTTTTTAGTCAGTGCATCGGTCCCAATCATTTCATCCACTCTTCAATTCTAAGTCAACTGTTTAACTTCGTAACTTTTGCAAACAAAACATCAGGTATCTTATAATATTATTTTTTTTTTTCTTTTTTGTATGTACCCGCTAGAATAAGTTTAACATCTGCTCAACATATTTCCAACTGTAATTCTTTTCTCATTTTTACATACACACTCATTGTTTATAAATATCATCTGTGCGCCTTTTATCAGGTAATTTTATTATTGTTTTTTTTTTTAAAAAAAAAGTCTTGCGTGTATCTACATTTGAGTTATCACCCTTATTGACGTTGTCGATTTCGTCTACAGCTGATTAGTATGCGGTTTGTGTGCAGTTTATTATTTGTAAGATGATATGAGAGACGATTATCTTGTTTTGTGACGCTTTGAGTGGAAGAAATAATTTTTTTTCAAAAAGCTTTGAACTTCGTTAGTATAAAGCAAAAAACCCCGTTTATCTTTATAAATTGTTTATATGATTTTAAGTTTTCCACTTATTGGAGATCTTTGTAAATCAAAAGTTTATCATCCCTTGTTGTTTTTAATTTTTGGTTTTTACTTCGTTTTGCTTTATTTTTCTCTACTTTAATTGTTGATTTTTAGGCATACAAATACGTTTAGACGCTTGTCTCTCTACTACTAATTCTCTTAATTACTTGACTTATGCATCTGTGTACTCCAATAAATTTTCAATGATATTCTGAAGAAGTTCTTTCAATAACTACTATTAGTCAGCTCCACTCAACAAATATATAAGATAAAATGGAGATGGATCGGACACACATTGAGGAGACCGTCGAATGACATCACGCGCCCGGCCCTCGTGTGGAATCCTAGTGGGAAGCGACGAGTGGGTCGTCCTGGGATGAAATGGAGGAGATCTTGGGAGGAGGAGATGAGAGATTGTGGGCAATCGTGGTCCAAGTTGAAGAGGATGGCAGAAGATAAGATAAAGTGGAGATGTGTTGTTGAAACCCTATATTACACTTGTAACTCAAGGAAATAATAGTCAGCTCCAGCATGCGCTAGCTTTTTATGAACTTATGGGTGAAATTCCGCTTGTTATTTTAAGAAAAGTGTACCGTACAGGTAAACATACTTTATCATTCACAATCACTATTGCATTTAAGTGTGGATCACACGTGGATTCTTTCTATGTTTGCCTTTACCTAGCAAAGGGTTTGCGATACTAAGCGGCTAAAGTTCA